TATCATGGCTTGGTCGTGGACCTACCTCTGGGGATTATGGTTTCTGATTGTATTTGCGCTTGTTTACATGATGCGAGGGCCACTAAAAATTATGGAGCTTATAGAAAGTCGTTAGTTTCTGCCTTAGACCTTAGTTGTTCGTTCCTTCCAGCTTCATTTATTTTCTCTGATACGGCTCATTTTTCGAGCACTTAGACTTTTTTTTTTCAGTATTGGCGGCATCGTCGTATTTTAGCAATTTAACTCCGAAGTTCTATGTAGCGTTAACTGGGACTTCAAGCCTAGTATCTGGCGTCATACTTATTTTTGAATGGTGGTATTTTAAACAGTAAGTTTTCTTCTTCATTTATTGTCTGTGGAGGGTTAAGTTTTCTGTCTCTTTTGTCTTGCCAGGATCATTTTTTAAACTGGAATTTTGTTCTTTACCAGGCAAAATTCTTTTGTTACAATAATACTCTTTTTCTTTTAATCGTAGCTGTGGATAATAGCTTTTGTGGGTTGGTTATAATGGAGTTATTTAATTCAAGAATCAGAAGTTGCGGTTTGTTTTTCACGTTGTGCTTGTTTCTTTTCTAAATTTTGGAAAATGAAGAATAGTAATTAGAAAGGAGGGCAGAGGTTTCTTAAATTGCTTCGGTTTGCAAAAATTTATCTCAAGAGTTACATGACACCTTCAAAAAATTTCTTGGATTTTAATAGATTATCTTCCACTTATGAGATTAAATGCTATCTTTGAATCATAGATCTTTTACGTGGTCCGATATTTGCCTAGTTTGCCTAGCAGGTATTATTCAAGAGTCTGGTGAGTTATTACCACCTTTTGAACATTGGTTTTAAGTTCATTTTTCGTTAAATAGTTCTTTTTGATGTACGTCTTATCGTACAGAATCTTTATTTACAGCAACTCAACAACTAGCAGGCCTGCAAGTGAAGATGGTAGCGATAGCGAGCTTTTGAATGATGACTTAAATAGCACTACGGTTCCAGGTAGTTTTTTGCGTCAACGATAGCCATCTAATATAGCTGTATTACGGTTGCAAACCTTCTTTTTTCTTACTTTTTATCTTTACTTTAAGTAAACCTTTTTAGAGTGCAAGGTTTGGCGCAATCCCACAGCCTTACTTAGAGGTGCTGAGTACCAAAGATTTAAAAACAAAACCGGGAAAGATCCCCTTACTTTTTATGATATGAATTTATCTGCTCAAGACCATCAGAATTTCTTCTCATGCGAGTCAGACATTGGTCAAAAGGATTATGAAAGTACGTTTCTACTCACATTTGACACGATTCTGTAACAGCATAATCCTTAGAAAAGATGTTGTTTTATATTCGTTACCTTTTTTTTACTTATTTTGGAATATATCGTTGTATAGTGATGCAAATCGCATGGCGAGAGAGGGACAGCTATTCTCGTATAAATGCTGCCTACAAAGCGTTGGAAATAAATCCTGAATGTGCTCCGGCGCTTATTTTATTAGCTGAAGAAAAATGCGAGACAGTCGAAGATGCTGAGCGAACGTTCAAGTGCTTTTTCGCATTACTTTTTTTTGATACTTTCGTTAAATGCGTAGATATGCATTCACGGTGTCTTCGTCGTTTGCTTATTTGATTTTTTTTCTTCCAGCCTGTTTTTGAAATTTAAGCTTTGGAAAGTTGGCAAGTAAAACTTAATTATAAAGCGTTTCGTCCTGATTTTGGTTCATTTAATGCTTGTTATTGTTTGCCTAATTGCAGCTTTTTAAATAATAGTTTCAGACGTGCGCTGAAGATTACTGAAGCGAATTATAGAAAAGTGCAGTCCCAGCTACATTATGATCCCGCGTCGGATCCTAGTCATCGTAAGCATACAGTTATAAGCTGATAATTTTTTATATTGCTTATTTATCATTCAAATTTTCGGCTAGCTGAAAACTTTAGAGTAAAAATTGGTTTACTTTACCGTTTTTTAGGTAGAGATGTTAATTTATTAGTCTTTGTTCGTAGACGTTTAGCTATGTGTGCTCGAAGACATGGCAGATTACGAGAAGCAGTTAAAATGATGCGAGATGTAGCTTCCTTATTTTCTGCGTTATTTTTTTAAAATTAATTGTTGGTAGTATATATGCGAAAAATATGTTTTTTTTTTTTAAGCTGATAAAAGAATTCCCAATGATGAACGTCATGAATATACATGAAAATCTTATTGAAGTTTTATTGGAACAACAAGCCTATGCGGACGCACAGACGATTTTAGCTAAATATGATGGTACTTATTAACGTCACAGATCCTACTGATATTTAATTTAGTTTAAGTTTACTAACATTGTTTTCTTCTCTTAACATACTAGAAAATGACGTACTGCTTGCTGTTTCACTTCTTAATGAATGCATAAAAGGAAACACATTGCTAATTGCAATGCAACTTTATTTTTTGGAGTGAACATTGTTTAAAATACAAGTCTTTAACATTTAGATCTTTATGTAAGTTTTTTACTTATTTTGCCTTTTGCCTTTGCGGTTTCATTCTACTCACTGTTTTAGATATTAGTTTGCCAAAGTCTGCCACAATATGTTTCACTTCCGCGCTACTAAAAGTTCGAACAGTGGCTGACAAGTATGTTTCTTTAGTTTTAAAACCTTAATCGTGCTTTTTATAATCAAACTAATGTTTTTGCGCTGTTTTTAACTTATGCCTGTATGTTGAACTTCCCCATACTCAGCTTCATAAAACACGCAGGATATCTAAAAGATTAGATTAGTTTATTTGTGGTTGTTTTTAACTCTTTTTTCTTTTATCTTTTTTGAACGGTTTTAATTGTTTTATTTTCCAAAACACAGCATATAAAACTAATAATTTTTTCTGAATTTAAGAGTTCTTGCCCTGATTTATATAGCTACTTATTAGCAAAGTTTATTAATAAAATTGTTTTTAAGTGTGTTCTTAAATACCTTTTTTGAAATTTCATATATAGAGGAAGTGACGATTCATTGGGTTTTTCTAGGTATACTTCTTTTTTTTTTT